AGAGAGAGAGAGAGAGAGAGAGAGAGAGAGAGAGAGAGAGAGAGAGAGAGGCAGGTGCACGGCCTGGGTATAATGGTAGTTTTGTCCTCCGCCATCTGGCTATAACAGGAAACTGATGGGGAAGGTCCTGCTAAGAGGGTATGATTCCGCATGAAAAGGAAAGATAATGCAGCCCACCTCAGTCGGCTGACAAGCTGAAATTAGACGTCCTTTTTTCTTCCGTTTTGGAGCTCCCCTCTGTGCCGCTCCTTTCTTCTGTCTTGCGTTTTCGTATGTATAAACTGAATTGTTACCATTACCATCATTACACAGCTGCTTCGGTTTGTGCTGGAAATCGGGTGTGGCTAATGCAAAGACCGAGCATTTGGTCAGTAGCTGCACCTCCCACCCAACTCCCTGATCACCGTCGGGGGCAACATACATCCTCTTGATCATAGTGAAAGGTAGCTATGCGTGCACGGGTCCCCTGCATAGGTTTAGGAGTAGTGGTGTGCTGGTAGGTCGCTAGTGGGGCCACTGGGGGGTAACATGCATCCCGGGCCCTTGATAGTGAAAGGTTGCTATGCTTGCAAGGGTCCCCTGTATACTAGGTTTAAACCCTTTAGGAGAAGTGGTATGCTGATAGGTAGCTAGTGGAAGGTGAAATCAAGAGAAGAAGAAACCAGCTCCAGCGACTGTCCATCCAGAAGGTGGTGAAATCGAGAGAAGAAGAAACCAGCTCCAGCGACCGTCCATCCAGAAGGTCCCCCAACCCCCCCCCCTCAACATCCCATTTCCTGGGTATAGCGGGATGATCCCTGCATGCTGGGACTGGGCACAGCTCCAGGGCCCAACTTTTTGGGGATTTTGGGGCCCTTTGGGGGCATAACCGAGAAATATGGTAAAGATATGTTACAGAACTGCAGCTCTGTGACATCCGTTAAAATTGGAAGGATACAGAGAAGGGTAATTAGCAAGTATGGCCCCTGCGCAAGGATGACACGCATAAATCGAGAACTGCAGCTCTGACCAGATCACAATTTTTAATTTTTTTTTAGCTGTGAACACTGAATAGATCATGATTGAAGACAGATCATGATTCAAATGGTGATGGAATCAGATCAGCCTGAGGGATACAATAAAGCAAGCGGTTACTGCCACCAGTTGCAAAGAGGGAAAAAAATAAATAAATAAAAATGCTTTGGTCTCTTTCTCTTTGTTTTGGCCCTCTCTTCTCGTCGAAGTGCTTTCACCTTGCAAGCGCAGTGGAGCGAGGGTCGAATAGGAAAAAGCTAAAACTGGATACCCCAGATCGGTATTAGCGGGGTCTGTGACCAACACGGGTGTGAGTGTGAGCGCGAGTGGGTTGTGTGTGGTGTGTGGGAGAGTGTTGGCCATAGCCTCTGCTGCTACTCGATGAAGGGTGGGGGACG